ATAAAAACTAAAGCGTTTGTAAAGGAACAATTTGTAATCTGCATATTTCGATGAAGTTTTACAAACATGACAAAGTATGAGACTTGTAAAAGATAAAAATTCAAGTGTTAGCAAAGATCAAGGACACCATAAAGGGCAAAAAGATAATAGCCAGCTGTGAAATATCCATTTAATTGATAATTAATGAATCAACGTTAAATTCATTTATTATATTATCATGCGTTAAATGTTTATTATTATTTTCCCTTTAATCTAACGCAATACGAGGGATGAAAAATATTTTAGGATATAAAGATAATAATAACGCAAATAATACTAATATATGAATTGCTGAAGAAAGAAATTTCATACAAATCAATGAAGGAAATATTAGTGAAAATATAACAGTCAAAATTAATCTTCTAAAATTATTTATTTCGTAGTTCAAAAACATTTTCCAAAATAAATGCTGCACAAATAGCGCACATATCAATTAATAGATTTTATTTTTAATAAAACAATGGAAAAGTTTGATATTGGAGAAATTTATTTGTGGGATTATTTAACCATTTAAATTTCACTAATTCTTTTTTTCCTAATTAATACAACTTTCTTTAATGAGTAAATAACTTTTCAGATATAAAGAATATCATCTATTATGAACTGCTGAAATTAAACAAAATAAAACGGAACAAATTAAATTGTTAAATTCCGATACATGAAAAAAGATTACTAACATAATATATATACAATAATGTTGTAATAAAAGTTTTGCTGTGTAAATCTAGGCATAGATTATTACTGTATTTAATCTAAGCATAGATTATTACTGTATTTAATAACTTAATCATTCAATATTTTCAACGTTTAAATTCTATCCTGCAATAACTTGATTTGAATATGAAATGAGTAGAGATAAACTTAGCTTATATGCTTTAATTCATAAACATTGAAAAACTTATTTTTGTTCTAATCGCTTAAATATCTAATCACTACTGATAGTCAGTGCAATCACAAAGATATCAAATTTTAATATCTGCTTGATTTATATCTATTTGAAATTGTTAATTTAGAATATATATTTCCTAAATCAATCCTATCGAATATTGTTATGAACAATTTATGATATTATGCATATTTCAATTTTAAATTCGTTTGGTCTTTTTTGCTACACTTAGTTAATATATAATTGTTATGTTATAGTTAAGTATTGTTAAAAAAGGTCATGTATAACTTCTAATGATTCCAATTTGAATTAAACAATTTCGTTTTAGCTAATTCTTTTGAATTTCATGATTATTGTTTATGATAAAGCAAGCTTACAATGCATCGTGTGCAACAAAAGTGATAGAGAGTGATATCGCAGATAATTACTTCGTTCTATTAGCGTAGATAAATAACTTCATTCTATTAGCGCACCATAATATTAAAATAATTAAAATAATTTTATATCATAAAAATTTATTAAATTAATTTTAAGTAAAATGGTCAATTGCTTAATGGTCAAAATTAATAAATGATCAATTGATTAATGTCCAATTGATTAATGATCAATTGATTAATGGTCATTTGATTAATGTTCAATTGAAAATGATTTATTGTTTCTATTGATATGTAATTCTTACAAATTATTTAACATCTTTGCATATAATTTAATTTGTTTCTTAATTTATACATTCTAAACAAATCGTTAATAATTAGTTTCATTTGTCAAACGATCAGTTGCCAATACATATTATTATTTCTTGTTTACCATGAATTTCATTAGTGAAATAATCATTAAATAATTAATTCTTTTTACTCCATTCTTCTTAAACTTAAACCGAAGAGTATTTCGAGCACCAACTTTAGTGTTTAAAACAATCATCAAAAGGTGTTTTAAAGTATTTTGGTGTTTTACGACAAGTATTGCTGTCTACATCTATTGAAATCCCTTTTTAACCATTCTTTACTCAGAAAGCAGTTTCAAACTATTTCCTTTGATCAATTGAGTGATTGACTCTACTACTGATAAACTTCATATAAGGATTAATTTTGATAATTATGTATTGATAAATATTTATTTCAATTACTAAATGAACATTACACGAAGAACGTTTGTAGAACTTGAACCTGAGAGGAGGAATAAAGTGGTATGAGTGACATAAGAGAAGGTAAAAAGTCTAGTCAAATTGGAAGTTATACTTTTAAATGAATTCTATGGATACAGAGGTTTACGAAAAGTGATAAAGCACTATCAATTCAACTTAGATTTGTCAGAAGGTAACTGAAAAGAAATTAGTTACGGAACAAATTCGTACTTCAACTGTTTAAAAAAGGTAAAATTTTCTTTGATTGAATTTATGAAATCAGTGATCAATTATTTTTTAATCAATAAATTAGATTCGTCTGGTGAGGAAGATTAGATTCACCTGGTAAGGGAGACACTTGATTTATTGTAACATTCGAGGATGTCAAATTACCCAATATTTGTGGTAAGTTTTTACATAGAAATGACAATAATGCACGCTCAATATATTGGGCTAATGGCAGGAAAATTCGATTTATATTACCCCAAAATTGATTTAATTCTTCGAACGTTTTAAGTGCGATCGAATTGACTTTATTTATCCGCAACATGGCATCAGACGCTGATTCATTATTATCGTTATCATGTGGTGCTGTATCTATCACATTGATAATACCATTTTGATTTGAATCATGCATGATACTATTCGCCTGTAAAATTTATTATACTACGCTTTGAAAAGATTTAATTTTTTTAATTCTTAAATTAATCTAATTTGGGACACTAAATAAACATGTGAATTTTGCAACAAATGATGGGAATATTTCTTTTCCTACAGCTAATATCAATTAATCATATCTTATCATAATCCATACTAAATTTCATGCCTCAGAATCATTCATTACTTACCGAAGAATTCAGCGATAGGGTGCAAATTAAAGTGAGCAAAAAGAAAATTTGTTTGGAGCACATATTCGATGCAAATACAAGCACATACACAGCGAAGGATATCGTTGAGGGTTATGTGTTAAATGTTTGAAATAGTTTTGTTTTGTTTCGGTGATTAATTAAGATTAAGCGATCATAGAATTTCTGAATCAACAAACGTAGAAAATTACTCTAATCTGTTATTGTGCAACGAAATGAAAACAAAATAATTGGATTAAAGTGAAAGTTTATTTGTTTGTTTTGTATATTTTATAATCTTTATGAATTGTACAGCAAATAATGTCTGAATTTTATGTAAGCCAAATTAGTGATACTGATCTGAAATCGAAAACATTTATTGCAAATTGATGTTGTTTGTGAAATTAAGTGATGAACGTTTGTCGTTGTCGTAAAATTATTTATTGAGATGAATAATTTGAACATTACAATAGCATCCTTTCTTAGATATCATCAACTGTTATATCCAAAATGAATCGAACTAAATAAGAGATACGAAAAAATTTGCAGATTTAAGCTATCAAAAAGATACAGTTGTAGAAGCTAACATATTTCGAAGCATTAAAAAAAAAGATTCATAAATGTAAACACACTAATCAGCTCTTATCTTCTCAAATTCTCAACAGATATATTTTGGACTAACAAAAACGAAATCAAGTAATAACTTTTGCTATATCACTTTTGATATAATAATATGCTTTTGTGGATTGGATAAAAGTAATAACAATCGGCGATCATAACAGGTTACTTCTGATGGGAATTTTTAGTACTGATTATTTGAGTTAAAAATTTTGAGTTAAAATGATAAAAGTAAAGAAGGAAAAATTTACTATATGTATTGCTCGGAAAGATTTCAGAATGATACAATCATGTTGGAATATGAATATTTCCCATAAATCTATGATTTGTGTCAGATCATTCATATACATTAAAGAGAACAACACATTGCTGTAAAATATAAAATTATTTCAATTACAAAATGAAATGAGTCTTCGAAGATGGAAGAAATACACAAATATAATATATGTACTATATAATAAAATATAGAAAAATGTACATTAGTTCTCTTTTTACTAAATTTTATTTTAACGATAATATTTAATAATAGAAAATTTCAAAATAGCATAACAATGATCTATTACTAGTAAGTATGAATGTATAAAGAAATTGAAAATTAAATTTCAGCAAATAGAAAAAGTTTGAAAATTTGATGTTTGAGAAAAGCGAAATACTTTAAAATTCGTTTTTCGCTAAATCAATGTATCGGCACTAAATTATGAACATTATAAATTATTTTAATATCAATTTAAAAAATTATCCTGCAGAAACATTGCTTACGTGATAAAGAAATAATTAAATTCAGACAAACAATTATACTTTTCATCTTTTATTTCTTCATTATTTTTACAATATTTCTCGCAACTGCTTTACAACATTTCCATTGTTCAAAACATGCTTGCAAATTCTACGCAGAAATATTGCTTTATTTGATACAAAACTTCAGATCGTCTCTTAATCTATTTCCGCGGTTGTTGTAGCTTGCACCAAATCCGAAGTTCCAATTCGAACTCAGAAGCCGGAGGAAGTTATTCGTAATCATATCAATTGGCCTAGACCACTAAATCAGAGTTTTGGGTATTTCATGGTTCGGGTTGTGAACCTATATTATCTTCCCTCAGATTCCATTTTGAATTATTTGCAATATCGTCTTACTAAATTCATGGGTTTAATTGTGAATCCAGAAGGCATCTTCGATTTCGCATCATAAATCCTAACTTCATTTCTTCCAATATCAATTATGAACCTAAACCGCAATGAAGTGATATTTTATTTTCTTTTCGTATTTCTCCTCCTTATTTCAGCAACTTTGTCATTGTTCCTCTCTCCATCACTACGGTTGATAATATCACATTGATTAAATTGGTTCTTATAGAAAAAAATTCACCTCTTTTTCCTTCACTCCGCTCAATTTACCTGTCCAATCATGTTGCATTAATTAAATACCTCAAAAATTCCTTTTTAGGAAAGTGTCAGTCTTTTCCACCACACCATCAAGACATTTTTCAAATCTTAAGGGAATTAAATTGACAGAAGCCGAGTAGTTTTTTGAATTTCGTGAAATATTCGAATATTTGTTTTATCGTAAATTGGGAAGTGAAAATAGCTAATCATAGAGGAAAAGGAATATTAATGAAGTAAGTTTGCTTTTAGCTTAGTATAGTTGATAAATAAAGAGTAGAAAATACTACTGTCATAGCTTAATATTAGTAATTATTATTAAGCTGAACTACCAAATGGATCGCAAGTTCTGGCAGGGGATTGTGAGCTTTCTGTTTGTAGTCCTTGGTAAATCTTTTTTCGATACCGAACGGGCGAAAATGAGTGTTCGCTTAGTATCTTGATGATTAACATTGAATTCAACGCCCAAACATTTTTGTCAAGATCAGTTAGAAGTGCTGCATTCTCCGTGATGTGACGAAGAAATGTTATGTAAAATTTATGCTCTCTAAATTAACAATTACACAACTATAAGAGAATATCGTAACACATCATTAGTGCAGATGTGTATTTTTCAGACAGATGTTTGGACTCCGCCGTGTATTGCTTCGGTTGTTGTTATGTTATCTGATAGTGCTAACAGATGCTTATCGGTTGAATGTGCCGCGGATACTGTTGCCTTATCATCCCACTGCTCAAGTGACCTTTGATTTAATCGTTAGTGATCCAGCGAATGGATGCTTCACATGGTACGTACATCCCAATGCATTTTATTGTTTCTTCGAACTAATCAAAAGAGTGAGTTCCTAGCAAGCATTGGATATATCAAATCAAGTACTCAAAAACTTTAAAAGGACTTGTGTTTGATTTCCGGATAAGAGCTTGAAATGACCAATGCTGCTTCTTGGTTATTGGTTATTAGACACCTCGAAATTGTTAAAAAATGACTGTTTTAGGAGATCAACTCGACCAGATACTGTCTCGGTGAAAGCAGTAAATCCGATAGGAACGAAAGGGTGTTCAGCAAAGGCTCAGATCATTGCAACTTCGAAGTATGCTGAGGAGCAGATGGCTGTTGTTTTTGCTGAAGATAAAGGTATACTTAGCCAGTTTGCTAAATTCCAAAAATTAAACTGAAATTAAAAAGGAGTTCGAATCTTGCCTTTGATAATTTTGTTGTTTTGAGATATGTGCTTTCTAAATTTAATTGCTCTTAGAAACTTCTTTAATGTTAGTTACAGTTTTGCGCTCCATATTTTATTTGTTATCATAGATTTTACTGATTAACAAGCATAGCTTGACTTTTTTAAAGAGCTGCTTTAATTTCTTAATTTCATAATTAAAATGATATTTTAGAATAATATTCAGTCCTCTTATCTGTTGCATATGTATGTTGTCTGAGAGATTTCATAGAGGCTTTACTGCAAATATTTGTTTTCATTTACAGAAGCTGGTGTGGTTTTGAGCTGTGGCGTGACAGTTGACGTTATACGAAGCATAACAGTTTCAACCACTACAAAAGTTTTGTTTCTGGATGCATCACCAGCTAAAGTTGTTGTACAAGCATACAATGCTGAAGGTTGGTAACTACTATCGTTTCTAAATTTTAGAATTAAAATGAGCTAAAAATACAAAAAGCATTTCACTCACTGATTAAATTTTCGGACGGTTTCAGATTTTGATAATTTAAGATAGTCAAATCTTGAGATTATTGATTAACGTTTGATAAGTGCGATATTGCCTTAATTTCCAGCGATGAGTTATGATGTTGAATATTGTTAAATATTCGTAGTAACAACTAAGGATGAGGTACATTTGAGAGAATAATCTTTTGTGATACCAGTGACTTTGCTTTAGGAGATAAGCGTGAATATTAGATTATCCTTCGTCCTGGATCTTTTTTCTTTTGATATCTATTTTTTGTTTTTGAATTATTTCTCGAACACCTTTAAATCGCTACCGATGAGCATGTATTTTTTTCCCTGCAGAGATTTGAATGCCTACTCTAAGTTAATCTAAGTTAATGCGAAAATCTAAACAAAACATTGAACTATGAAGGTGTGAATAAAGAATTAAGAATTTGTAGGTGATATGTTCACTAATATCGGAGAAATTCCATTCGAATGGCATTTGGAATCATCGTCTTTATCGGAAAAACCTCTTCGAATTTTACCGTTTTCGCAATCAAAATACGAAGCGCCTGATGGCGTTCGTTTGTTGGAAGAAAATAAAAAGCGCGGTTAATCTTTATTTTGTCGAAAGTTTTTTCTTTTTCATTAGTTTATTAAGTATAAAAAAGGTTAATAATATGCCAAAAAATATAAATCGGTTTATTTATACCAGATGTACTTATCTGAGATTTTGGCACTATTAATCTTTAGAATGCAGATTAACATTTCGCGTTTAACACTGTTTCATTCGTTAATAGAAAAATATTCATAAATAAGAAGTCTACCAGAGTAATTATACGTTTTCATAATCGTGCAGGTATCTACTGATGTTTTCTTATTTCCAGGTCATGTGATATTAATTGAGGGTATATCTACAGGTGCTGCTGCTCTGAAAGTGAAGCTAGTTGAACCGCACTTTAAGGTTTGTTGTTGCTCTCGTGATATTGTATTTGTTGCATCAATTTAACCAATAATATTTGTTGAATTTACATTTAATGTTATCAGACAACCAGTGATTTTCTTTGAAGGATGTGAAACCCCAAAACGTGGACTTCATAGTAATAGCAAATCTTTTACTAATACCTTCTCAAGATATATTTCTTTCGCTTGGATCACGTGTGCACTATACCGCAGAAATAGTTAAACAGAGCGTAACAGAAGGTAAGATCATTATATCTCACTAATTTATACATTATTTATAGTTCGCTTCTCTAACGTGATATATGTGGAAAATAATATTCATATAATATCACAGTACATGTAAATTTTATTTGCAGCAATACACTTACCTTCAAAACAATATCACCTACTGATTAAGGATGTAGGAATTTGTTCGTTGAATTCATCATCGTCTATAGTTACAGCTATAAATTACGGAACAACCGAAATATCGCTGATTGATGAAAGTTAGATTTTTTTCAAGTATAAATAGAATGTTGTTATCTTGTTTTGAATCGTTATTATTACATTCCTCTTGGTTCCTTTGAAATGTGTGCTACTCTATTTAGTCTTCTTGAATTTTTTATTGGTTTTAAAGAAAAAATTGCGATCGAGAAGTAATGTATTATCTTTATTTGGATAATATGGTTCATTTTTAGTTAGAGCTGAATTTCTTATTTCGTGGTTTATAGCCAATGCAATACATAATCATTTTTCAGACGTAAAGTCATTAAGTGCACTGAAACCTCCATCTGCTCGGATTCATGTTGTTGAGCCATCAAGTTTATATATCAAAATTAGTGGCGATTTGTGGTATCTCGAGATAGGGCACGAATATGATATTTCTTTTGTTGTGACTGATGCTGATAATAATGTCATATATATCCCGGAGGTTGTTTATAAATTCTTTATCTTGTCGTATAGAACGTCGTTTTTTTCTGGGTGTACTCTTTATTTTCTGCGTGTAGTTTTTAAGAGCGTATCTTACAGAATGCAATTTTCGAAAGTGTTATATCTGAAAAATACTTCAAAGTGATAAGTAAATCACGGAATGGATCACACTTTAATGTGAAAACTATAAAGAGTGGGATTGTGAAGTTACGAGCAGCATTCGTATCGGTCATGAGTTCGGTTAGGTGTTTTATATTATTTTATATTATTCAAGTGTTATATTATCGAGTACTTTCAAATATCAACCAGAGGAAAATTACAGCTTTCATAATGAAGATTTATGATGTTAATTCGTTCTCATATCGCATTTTACCTTATAGATGATCCTCTACGACAGGCGAATATAAATGTCATCAAATAGTATAATGGAATTTTCTATCTTACAGGAGGGAGAACTAAGGATATCATCGTCGGTAAAGGATGAAGTAACAGCGGTGATATCAGAGCCTATTGAAGTGATACCGCCATTCGTCGCCTTTCCATACATCGATGCCAAAAGAATTCACTTTAAAAAACTTTTGGTATATCTCTTGTAATATACTTTAAATATAGATATTATGATTCATTTGTTACTATAATAATAGTATTTTTATCATGGTATCTTTACCATATATGCGAATTTCTTTTACAGGCACGAGGTGGTACAGGATCATTTACATGGTCAAGTATAGATCCGGAAATTGCTTCAGTAGATTCTAGTGGAATTCTGCTGACTGGAAATCTCGGTAAGACAGAGGTGATTGCACAGGATGCTCAGAACAGTGCTCATTTTGGAAAAGCAATTGTTCATGTTTTACAATCAACCGAGATTGCTTTCGGTAAATCGCATTTGGAAGCTGAGGTATATTAAATGAATTGAATATTTTCTAATGTTCAGATAGTAAAGATTTTACAAAATTCAACGAGCAAAATTTCAATACCATCATCGCTTAATCACTGAATTATTTTTAAAGTGCAAAACTTTCTACATATAATGCCCATCAAACATTTCATAATTTCTCACCCTTTGTATCTTAGAAGCATTGAGGAAATAGTGGTCATATATATATTACTGATTAGCATCGCTGATGAATGTGAACTAAAGCAAGAATACTAAAATATTCCGGAAGTGAAAAATAATAGGTGCTTAATACTGAATAAGTAAAGCTGTTATTACTATATACAGTAATTAGTTTAGTTACCATATTTCAGGTTGGTAACGACTTAATCCTTTATATTTCTCTTTACGCCGATTCAGAAGGTAGGAAAGTAACAATATCCGATTGTCGTCGTGTTGATATATCGCTGAAAATAAAGGACAGTGATGTTTTTAGGATTGCGTCAAGTGAGTTGTCTAATGAAGTGTCAAAAATTGGTATATTTGAAAAGTGAAGGTGTTCAAGTTCTGTATGTATTTGTGTGTCATATTACGAATATATAAATATTCAGGTAGTTGTGGAAAAATTCCTTCATATGACGATGGTTGCTGCGGCTTTGTACTTAATGCTATCGCTTCTGGTGATACTATTGCAACTGTTCAGTTTGGTAATATGTCTGCATCGACTCAAATTTCTGCTTATTTGCCACTGAAGGTTTGTCTTTGTTCTTTAGACGTTTATTCAAATCATCTATGAGGTCTTATTGAAAATGAATATCATTATTATCGATTGCTCGTCTACTGCATATTTGAGGAAGGTAGGATATTTAAGTTCAAATGATTTTTGTACTCTAAGTTAATGAATCTTTTAGCTGGAAACACCTGCAGAATTATTCGTTATGCTCGGCAGCAGCTTTGTTATCCGTACATCTGGTGGCCCGAGACCGTGGATTCTGGATCCGTCGAAATATTATTCAAAATGTAATTTGGTAATTTGTCTTTACTATAATTATATTGAATTGTGGACTCAGTTTTCATGCTTTCAAGGATTTGTTTTGCAGTGATCTACACTGATACATCAAATTTGATCAGTAGTGGTGACTTTTCTTCTCAGGATGGACAAACTATTGCCATGTGTAAAGATAATAAAGGAGACTTGGTAAATTTTTCATAACGTACCAGTTAGAATATCAGCAAAATGGTCAGTCATTAATTAGCTCATCTTTGATTGATGACCAGAAAAGATATGTTCGTATAAGAGATTTTTGGAAAGGCTTCATTCTGCCACTCAGTAAATTGTTTCATTAATTCCATTTGCTGATTATAATCGTTGATACTTGTGAGAGCGATTTCTTTAAAGAAAATTATTGAAGAGTGTTTTTTTACATACTGTTCTAATTTTCAGTTGATCGTGGTTGTTGTTGGTAATGAAGCTTCTTCCACAAATCGATTACCTGCTAAGGCTGAAACAAAATTAAGAGTGTGTTGTGGTGTGCCTACGCGGTTGTCGTTATCTCTACTAAGGCCCAATCAAAGCAAATGTCCGACGGACGTGGTTTGTGTTCTTTTGATATGAAATTCTTTTCTTCTTGCAATTTTTTTTGGTCGATTTCTTTCTTCTGTTCAAAAAACTGGTGAGAAGCATGGAAAAAATTTCTACACCAGCTTATATATTATAGCGTGCTGCTAGCTGCAGTCAACCATCTTCGTTAGCAGTATCAGCTTTCGGGCATTGCGAATCGGGACCATCGATGGGACTAGAGAGGCAACTTGATTCGTTGACTTCTCTAAAAATGAATTGGAAAGTAAGTGATAAAAATATAGCGCACGTGGAAGAAGATGAGGAAATCGAATTAAGCGAAGGTAGTTCTTTCGAAATTTATTTAGCACATGCATCCATATATCAGAGTTCCATTAATAATCTTAACAACTAGCGTTTGATAAGAAATGGAAGAAATGTAATTACCAAACTATTTTTGATGCTAAATGCAACGTCATGTAGGGCATTGGATATTTTCTTCTTATCACAACGTTCATAGCCTCGAAATCTAACCAGGGAATTTATTCAGTCTAATAAGTTAAAAAACAATCTCTGTTTATCTGCATGCATTGAATATCTGAATCAATGTTAATGTTTAGTACGCGGCAAACTGAAACCACGGGGAATTGTTGGTACAGTAGAAATTACCGCATCGACGCGGGGATATAAGATTGGAGATCGACAACTTTATTTACCACAAGAGTTGCAAAGCAAGATCCAGGCAGATTTGGTCCGAAATGCGGAAGCGGTGCCGTCTGTAGTTGTGCTGCTAAACGAGAAGAGTGCTTCAAAAGTCATTCGATTAGAACATGGTTCAGGACATTTTGCTTTGGTAGCGTATGATTCGGATGTATTGGATGCCGAAATGTTCAGTGGAATGACGCAGGTGACAAAATTACACTGTTTCTACTAGTTTAAATGATAAAAAAAAAATTGACTGATTTTAACTGTACTTTTCACATATTTGAACAGTACCATACAGATGTGTTCTAAATGTTGATCATTCCATAAACATAATAGCCGCAGCTCTGTGATAATATCCTTTAAAGGTGCATCCGTTATCTGTTGGTAAATCGAAACTCGAGTTTTTGGACTTATGTATCAATCAAAGCTTCACAGCTACAATTACGGTGACGGATGTGGAAGAGATTTTAATCGAAGCACCCAGATTTGTAAATAATATTCCTTCATATTTTTGTAAACTTTTTGGAACATTGATATCTTTAGGTATTTAATTTGTTTGATTTTTCAGTGTGAGGCTGAAATGTTCCAAATTTTCTGTTTCTAACCGATCAGTATGTATCATTAATTGCTCTTTTAATTCATTGCTTATAAATCGTGCCTCCAATGGGATTTTTTATAGATAGCGTTGAATACCGAACAAGAATTACAGCTTAAAGTTCGTGATCCGGAAGGTCTTTTCTTCGTAACGGATGATGCCGATATCATGAATGTACAGTTGAACGGGTCATCTAATGTTTTAGCAATAAGCAGGTATTTTATTTTTTTCTGCTTTATTGCATTTTTTGTCCAAAGGAGTATTTTTTCTTGAGTCATATTGCACACATCAATCCCTTATGGCTAGATGCCGCTCATCGTGTAAAATATGAATTTTTAAAACTGCAATGACTGAATACAAAAACTTATTAAGGATTGATGCCCTACATTATATTTTGCGAGGTAATGTGGTTGGCGTAGTAACACTTCGCGCTTCTGCTCGACGCGCTAACGGGCGAGTATTGCAAAGCCAGTCTCACAGCATTCAAGTTTATGCACCGCTGCAATTGCAACCGAAACTGATAACTCTTATTCCTGATTCTGTTTTTCAGGTACAACAATTTACTTAATATTACTCCTTACCTAATGAAAACTGTTAGAAGGAATTTGAGCTACCGTTGAAAATGCTTTGCTGTTTTCTTTAAATTAATGCAGTATCAGAATTAGAATGAGTGAACTCAGTGCATGGAATGAATGAAATTTCTTTTTATAGTCGAAAAGTTGAAGTAATCAAATTCCTGTAGAGGATATTGTTATTAGATCTCAAAAGTTCATTTAAAAAAGCAGTGATTTAACGGTCTATAGTACCATCATTGTAGTTAGAAATATCTGGTGGACCTCAGCCACTGCCAGCTGTACAGTATCGTCTTAACGATACTTCAGTAGCTGTTGTGGGATCAGATGGACTAGTAACAAGCAGAGCAGTTGGATATTCGAAAATTGTAGGCTCTGTTAATCTGGACAACAGTGCGCCAGCTATTGAAGTAATTTTCATCTTTTTTTAAAGGAAACATCGTATATATTTTACGCATTTAAGAAGAAATCTAGATAATGACTTTCGAAGTTATATTCGCAACACAGAAACTTGCAGGAATGACTATTTTAGGATCATGTCGTTATTAAAACAGTATTACTTACCGGAGTTCATATTCACCTTTCTACATCACGGATACAAGTCGGTCAAAAAGGATGGGCACGCGTTGATGGTCTTAATGAAAATGAAACGCCGTTTTCATTCGGTGGAGCCTTATATCCATTAAAGATATCTTGGAGGATCACCACACCAGGCATTATCGAAGCCGTATCTCCAGTTGATGTAAGTGTTCACTACTGCTTCTTGGCAAGGACTTGTCAAGAACTGCATGAAGAGTCTTCTTTTTTAATTTATAATTTATAATTTATGATAAACGGCTAAACTGGCTTTCCGAGAAAGATTTGTAAGTCGAAGAAAAGGATTTTATTGGCTTGATTCTCATTGTCTTAACTAAAATTAACCGAAATATAATATCATTTATAGACTTTCGTGGCTGAATCACCAGAAAATCGATTTCAAATAGAACTAGAAGCACTAACAGTTGGACAAGCGGTAATTCACGTATCGGTGACCGCTCCTGAAAATTCGAAGGCATTTTTCAAGAAAACCAGACATTATGAAGATCAGTTGATAGTAACAGTCACTGAACCGTTACAGTTAACGATTCCACCACGATATCCGCACGCTTTACGTCTCTCACCGGATGCAGAACTTAATTTGAAAAGTAGCAGGTAGTTTTGCAGTCACCTTAAGTCTTCATTACATGGTTCTCGATGTTATTGAAATGCTAACATACGTTGATTATACAGTAGAGCTTTGCGCAACTCTATGTATTTTAATAATTAATTATCATGATTCAAAGCCATTCCTGTAGTTTGTTGATGCTGGTATTATAACATGTTAAACGTAACCGTGTTTGACAGTAATTCAGCCCTTTCTTTGAATTTGTTTATCACCTAAACCAATTATCAGCTCTTTTTGTTTATTTTCTCAAGTTTATTGCGCTTTTTTGTATTAAAGTGAATGAAAAAATAAGAAAGACATTGTTAACATTCAATTCTTTCAGGAAAGATAGCTCAGTGCAATTTATGGTGCCACCTGAACTTTCTATTTATGTATCACTTATCGGTGATGGCAACAGTACTTTACTAGCTCATACTGTTGGTGATGCTGCTTTGGCATTGAAGGAAACAAAATATCCTCATAAGGAACTTATATATTTACCAATTTCTGTAAGTTATATGAATTAGTTTGCATAACACAGTTGTCTTATTTTGCAGGAGAAATCAGTTACTCAATACAAATCCATTCATTAAAGGTTAATAAAGGCAACCTGTCGAAAAAAATATTTCAACTCTCATGCATAATGAATCGCATTACATGTGTATTTCATTCTCTGCCGCATTTTGATGATGCTATATCTGTGAATTTACTTAGAAAATGAAAATTACAGGTTACTCCAGTAGTATCCCTTCATCTGAATGTGAAATGTTCTGAAGTGCTGGAAAAGCCGTTAACAGTATTTCCTCTCGGTTACCGCCTCCATGTTGATGTTGAATCAAGAGATCACTTCGGCCGTCTGTTCGATGCTGCAAAGCATTCGCTAAATTACAGGCCTCATCGGTGACTGCTATTTTATTAAGTCCATTTGAATTTTCTCATATATTTTCACAGTTTGGGAGTTGAAAAATTCATCAATTTTTTAAGGTCTACATTATATTTCCCTTGCTTCTCCATTTATAATTCAGGTCACAGGAAAGCATTCCTGTTTACAGTGACTTGCAAACTTTAAGCAAAGCAGAAGCAATTTTTTAAAAAAGTGAAGTTGATATCAGTCACATCTAAATGGAATTATAGCTGAGATGTCTTTGAATCCTATTTTCTGCTGCTTTTATCGCTTTTCCTAGAGACTGATTTTATTATAGCTTTGATTTGACGGAAATCTACCCTGGCAATGCCAACAGTTCATTCGACATTCATTTAAAGGATTCTGGAGAAACGGTATTTAAGGTGAGTTAATTGATTGTCTTTTCATCGTCTCAATTTTTTAATTAACCAAACATTTTGATCTACATTTTTCTTTCATTTATTTTTGATTTATTTGCATTTATTTATATCTGATTTATTAAGTTTTTTCTCCAGGCATGTTAGAAATCACGAGATCAATTGCACCTAAAGTTTCTCGTAATATTATCACTTTGAAATATTACCATACACTTTATTGAGGTATGGGACGGGAAAAATCCGGAACTAAGTGTATTCCTTCGGCTTCCGGTTGGTGATATACTCAGGCCATCAGTACATTCTGTGGCTGTTTCCGAAATTGTCTGTTTCAATTCACCGTTACCAGTATTGGGATGGAAAGAATTAGATGGAAAACGACATTTTCAATTCATCGATGAAAAAAATGGCATTGCTATAGCAGCGGATATGGGTAATACCGTAGTTGCTTCGTATGACTCCCAGAAACAAACCATCTTTACTAAGGTATCAGTTCTTAAGTAATGAAATAATATGCTTCCAACACAGTGAAAAAGTTTTTTGTATTGATGTGCTGAGTAGAGCACTCTAATCAGAGAAATCATGAATTATATACAGGCCTATATTCTTTGCAGCGCAAAGTTGTTTCTGCAAAATCGCTCCGTTTTTCATCGGTACCGCAGTTCGTCTCGAATATAAGAAATCATCAATATCTGTTTCCAGTAATCGTTGATAATAGTGAACAAAATCCATCTAATATTTATGGTTTTTTTCCCATTATTTCTTTTGTCGTATGTTAAATCAATATCAACTCCATTTGACGAAAAAATTCCACTTTACAAAATTCTATAGTGTTATATTTTAGAGTACAGTGAAATTTTCCAACTAAGTTAATGCTTCCCTGAGCTATTACAGTTCACATAGGCCAGTTTATAAATGCAATAATGTAGCACAGACGCGTTCCTTTACTTTTATGTTATTTTTCGGTTGACTGATATTATTCAAGCATCACATATTGCTTCATAAATATTGAGCTAGCAAACCATAAACAACTTCATAAGATTTAGATTGCGCGTCTACGCTATTAGAGGAACTGATTTTGGATGCGCCTTTTGATTGCATTGTCGATTTTGTAGAAAAAGTGAATGTGTTGGCAACCAGCTTATTTGCTGCTCGTTCAGCTTTTCTTCCTAGATTGGGTAAACATTTATTTTGTTTAGTGAATTTGAGACTGCTTAACATACGGTGTTAGTACAAGATACTGCTTGTTTTTCGGTGTAAGTTAAAGGATAAAGAATATCATGATTCCTGTAGGTTTTTTATGGAGACAAACTTGCTAACTAGGTAGTTTTTGGATTTGCAGAATATGTAAAGGTACTTACACCAAGATTCTGCAGCAGTTTATCCATATATACATTAATAAGCAAACGAGGCTAGTCCTTGTTAAATTTTGGCCTTTTTCAGGTAAATATGGTTGTATTTTGGTGGAACAGACATTCGGGGGACCAATTTCTTTGATCGAATATCAAAATCTTAATTTAAATATCTCCGCTATCTGGAATCGTGTTGGCAAGGTATGCACGACTTAACATATTTTATCTCATTTCATGCTACTCTCGCTTGTTAGTTTTGAAATGATTTATAGCAGAATAGATAATAGGCGAATCTCTTTATTGATATGGATGGTTTAGGAATGACTTGAAATAAGTAAATTTTAAAGAACATTTCAGGTAAAAGAGGCAAGTGTAA